GGATTTTGGAGGAAGGTCCTTATTTGGTTGATGATCTGGGTGTGAAGTGGTCTCTCAGCTCTTGTCTTCTTGTAATGTCTTATTTCACCACAGCAGCTTGAAGCTGATCAGAGTAAGACGGGCACACACATCCTTCGCCAGTGTTCGAGACTGATCCCCACCTCGATTTTTGCTGTCTTGTTCCTCAGATGCGAATGTGGAAGTTCATCCTTCCTGTGAGCAGAGATGGATTTTCCTGCCACGGTCCTGCTCCAGAAGGAGACAGGGGAAATTGAGTGGCTTTGCTGCTTTTGCTTTTTTGAATTTCAGCCCAACATGACTGTGGTAAGCCAGAAATGGCAACGGGAAAGATCGGCCACCTCAGCGTAGCCAGTGAGCTTCAAGCAGGTCAGGCCATTGGCACCTGCTGTAAAGGCTTTGAGGCGTGTGGAGCCTGTGTAGACTTGTAAATACCACAGGGTCCAAGGGTGAGAGCAAAGGTGTGGAAAGCTAGCTCTGAAGGCATGGTGGACCTGGGCGGATCAGTGCTGGGTGAGAAGTTTGGCTTTAGTAGAGAAGGTTAGGGACAAGTGAAAAGCAATCTCTTCCTCACACTTCCATGGTGGGGGCAAGGAGCCAAGAGCCTTTCCTGATTGTGTGTGAGGATATGTGAAATATATATTTGTCCTCCAGTGGCTGTCAAGGGCAAGTTAAAGAAACTTAAAACTCAGTTGTGGAAGAAGAGGCTACAAGACTGTGGTTTCTTCTTTTCCCATTCCTCTTCTGCAGGCTTTTGTATCTGTCCCCCTAAAGAATGGACTATAACCAGGAATGGTCTCATCTTTCTTATTACATCTTGATTCATCCAACTTGTAAGATCAGCATCCAAATGAGGTAATAAAAGTAACCCTCTGATTTTTGTAACATAAGAGTTGGATCAGAAGGCAAGAATAAACACGGAGCAAATGGAATGAAAAATGACTCATTAGGGACCAGTGCTTATAGAGCCCGTGGGAAGGAGAGAGACCGAGACATGGCTGAACTGTGGAGCAGAACAAACTCTTCACGTGTCTTATGCTTTCCTTAATGCTGCTCTAGCTTGTTCCTGTGGCTGTAGGTGTTGCTGCAGGAAAGGAGGTGAAGGGAGATGGAATCAGGTTCCATCCTCGGCTGCCCTGTTTCAAGTTACCCTGTCATCTCCCCAGGATGGAGCTGGCCGGTACCAGAGCCCTTTGGGTGCCAGAGGTTTGAAAGCTTGATTGATGGTGTAGGTAGAGCTTGAAATCTACAGGCCATGGGGATCTACATCAGAGAGGGCAGACTCAAGGACAAGAAAGGGTGCAGGATAGAAAAAGCCTACCCCCTCCTCAAGCCCCAAGATGCCACACCTTTCTTCCCTCCTGTGACATCTTGGTTGACATGGCTAGAGCATGCCCTGACCCTGCGGGAGCCCCGTTGCTGGGAGTGCAGAATGAACCCTGCTTCTATTTCATCTGAAACGTTTCTCCTTTAGGCCAGCTTCTTCATGGGAAGGGTGCACAGCCCTTCCTTTCCGAGTTTCCCGAGTCAGATGCTGCCCTCCTGTGTCCCAGAACTAAGCCCAGACAAACTCCACTGACGCTCCAGTGAGCCGCCGTGTCAGGAGAGCGCAGCACCACTGCCTGCAGCAGGCAGCTCCGTCCACATTTCTGCTCGTTTTGCCTTTTAATAAATTCTGCCACAGAACCACGGGCAGCGCGATATTAATCCTGGCTTTTGGTTGGAGCTTGAGCGCAGCATTTGATCTGGGTTTTTACAAGCCAGTCTTATCTCTGCTTTGTACAAGTTTGTGGCATCTCGCTTGCAGCTTTAATGCAAGGAGATAAAATTACATGTCTAGTGTCTGATTGATTCATGGTGTGATTGATAAACGACGTGCATATTTTTTGCATGAAAACAGTCCTCGTAACGTGATTCCCCGCGCAGAAGACTCTGAGAGGTTTGAAAGCAAATCTTTGTGCTGTGCACGGAGTTTGATCGATACATTGCTATTTTTATGAAGTCACCCCATTTATTTAGAACAGATTACCCCACGGCACCTTCGCTGCCCTGTGTCTTTGGCTTATGAAGCACCATTACTTGGAGTTTTAATGTGATCAGTGTATGAAATGTTTCTCTATCTCCCCCTTCTTCCAAGCAGCTGCATGAAATACTGGCAGCTGCCTGGGACGTTTGATGGGGTTTGCCTTTTCTTTCCCTGATAGACAATAAAACAATTTCCTGCTGGAGAGGCAAAGTACTTAGAAAATAGAACATGTTTTGTGGTGCTGTGACATGGTTGAGGGACTGGGAGGGAAATCCAGCTGTGAGGCTGCTGCTCATCCTG